GTAGGGTGTGGGGACACACCTAGGCTCACGTGACGCTATCCACCTACGTGCACTCCCGCCTTCGATAGTTTTGCCTGTGCCGTGGCAGAGAGGAGGCTGCATGGCAGAGGCTGCACAAATCTACCATCGCTCACGCGCGCAATGAACCGTTCTGCTCAGATTACAAGAGCATCAGTCTCCCTCAGGCTCTGTTTTGTTTTTAAAAATAATTTGTAGACTACTGTCTTTTTTCGACTTTGGTAACCAGGATTCAGAGGCAGTATTTTTTTTAACTTCTTCGCTCTGACTGCTGATTACGTTTTTTGTGTAATTTATTCCTCTGACCTACCTGAGATTCACATTGAAAGTGCACTTGTGTTCATTAGAAAAAAGGGTAGCTTTCAATAGTACCAGTGAATGTGTACGTGATGAAATTTTCCCCGACACGGGTTGTCTCACGGGGCGACTACAAACAATTCACTTCTGCGTATGTCTCAGACTGTTCTTCTATTACCTATGATTAAGGATTCCCGAGGGAATCCGAAACGTCAGAAAAATAAACCTCTTGTTCCAGTGATCGTTTCTTCTTCTTCCGAACAATTCACTTCGTCGTCTTGTATATCGATCGGGGCCAGTATTCACACTGTTAACCAGACAATCATCGCAACTGAGGTCCACGAATGCTCCTGAGTCTGTTCTACTGAATCGAAAGCATCACCTTCCACTTTGATATATATGGGTAAAGGAGCAGGCTTTTCGACCACCGGAACAATTAGTTTATTGTTCTGAGCTTTAAAACTCTCACATAGGATCACCGTCAATTATAACAGCAACAAGAAAAAAAAGGCGACAAATATGGGCAGTGTTACCCAACCAACTATTAGTGATGCACAGTTGGTGACTGCGCAGGGCTCTGTACACCAGCGAAAAATCGATGTGTCGATTGGTTAAGTTTATCATTCTGACGCTGACGTACAGAGCCCTGCACATCCACCGCAAACCATGCGTCGCTGATATTTGATTGGTTAACACTCACTCACCCCTTGTTGGCTGTTGTTCTTACCTTTTACGATGAATTCCTGTAAGAGTTTAAAATCTAAGGACATAAAACCGAGCATTCAAATGCTCGCCAAACCTTCTTGTTCACCCGTGCAAACATCTTGAATGCGAACTTTATCATTTACTTTACTAGATTTATAAAAGGGAAACTAAACCAAATGCTGCTGTAGTCGAAAATCCTAATACATATCATTTTATGGCATTTCTTCCTCAGGAGCCCCTAAAACGATTAAGGCCGTAGATGTGCTTGACGAAGGGGGGGGGGAGGGGGGGTTAGGTTAAGGCACGGCTGGACTATGCATCCATAAAAGATTCCAGCTTGGAGGGGGCCGTAGGGATACGCCTAGGCGGAGACCCACGTGACGTCGTCCACATGGGCCTAGTCAGGCTTTTATCTCCTTGTCTTTCTGCCAAAGGCAAACAAGAATACACCATAAGCATCTGGGAATACTACCTTTACTCTCACTGTTTTTCTCGAGATTATTCTCTTCTTGCCTGGGATAGGAGTGGGCGACTGGGTTTACCACGGTGACGTCAGAAAACATTTTGCGCGTATTTTTCTGTCTGTCTGGCCCCTAATAATCCGAGTGGTTACCTTTAGGCTAGACAGTTTACCCTGTCTAGTCTCACGGGAGAGCAGACTTACTGAGATGGTTTGGCTTAACAGCAGACCCAGTTTCTGAGGATCTTTTTAGAGCAGTACTGAAACGTCCTCATATGATGACCTTTCTGGGCAAACTTACGTCATTTACTCTGACGCAGGCTTGGTTGCACTCAAACGCACCCAATCCCTGTGTTTGTCAACACGCGTCTTTCACTGTCAATTATTCTCGTTTGACACTGGAATTGTTTTGACTGCTTGAGGTAGATTAAAGTCCGTTAACGTCTTGAGCTTCATTGTAATTACATTTAGCAGTTATAGGCGAGCACAGTTCCAGATGACACCCTTGTTTTAAACACCGCGAGCCGATGGCTACAATTCAATTAGGTAAATCCCGATGTTTGTGTCTCTGAACTTTGAATAAGATTAAATTTTAATCCGATACATAAAAGAGCAGTTCGTAATTTCAGACTTATGAGCGGCAGTTTGACTCTAGCCTGCATGTTGGCTTTGAATTTTTTGGTAGCTGGTCACACTAAATGGAAATAAATTCTATAAAAATGGAACACACCGTCCATGAACGCAAATGGTCACTGCGCGTTACTCTTATGATGTTGGCATACTGTTTCTTACGGTTTACCGTATGGTGGATATTAGTTCGAATAGGAATAGGCTACTTTTCAATGCGATTTCGTGCAGTTCGTTTCTTTTAAAAGCTTCTTGTAACGTTTGTCTAAACCGTGAGACCAAATTGCAATTTTTGTTGGAATTCAGACGTTTTACAAACCTACGTTCATTATTGGCTAGGAAAACGAACGCGGCCGTTACCTCATCAGCCATTTATAGCCTTTTATCCGTTTATCGGATGTCCAATGCTCTAAACATAAAACCACAGGTTCGTTGTTTTGCTGGTTTAGATAGGAAATATGGACATTCGTTGAGCAACGCTCACTCATCGTCTCTCGTATTTTTTTTTGTTGGCAATTTTAATCTGCCTACGCTGTTAGCCGCTGTAGGGCTGCCTAGCCAGCCTCCTATCGTTTCGCTAAAGGGAAAAAAGATGCATCATAAGTATCTGGGAATGCTACCTTTACTCTCACTGTTTTTCTCGCTTCTCGTCTGGGACAGGAATGGGTGACTGCTTTCACCACTGTGACGTTGGAAAACATTTTGCGGATCTGTTTGTCTGATGATCTTCAGACTAGACAGTTTAACCTGCTTCTCACAGGAGAACAGACTTGCCGAGAAGGTTTGGCTTAATCGCAGACCCAGTTTCCGAGGATCTTTTTAGATCACCACTGAAAAGTCCCCGCATGATGGGGTTGTCGAAGCACAGCTTGCGTCATTTACTCTGACGCATCCATTCCCTGTGTTTGTCAACACGCGAACGTCAACACTGTGAGCAGACGGCTAGAATTAAACTTAGGTAAATTCAAATGCTTGCACCTCTGAAATTTGAATAGGTCTAAATTTGTATCCGAAACAAAAGAGCAGTTTGTAATTTCAGACCTATGAGTGGCAGGTTGACTCCAGTGTGCATCTTGACTTTGAATCCCTTGGTAGCTGTTAAAAGTGAATGGACGATAACGCTAGAAAAATGCAACACACCGTCGATCAAAGGAAATGGCCACTCAGGTGTGTCACTGCGCGTTACTCTTACGGTTTTCCTTATGGAGGATATTAATTCTAGTAGGACTCACTAGGCCCACCACTAACGATTTTGACTGTTCCTAACTATACCACACCCAATCTGTGATTTTTCAATTCGCCTTCGTGTAGTTCATTCCTATTAAAAGTTTCTCACAGATTTTGTCTAAACAGTGAGACCAGGTTTTGTTGGAATTCGAACCGACGGGACTAGTGTCTAACAAGCTTACGTTTATTATTGGCTTCCAAAACCATCGAGGCGTTGCGCCATTGGCCAATCATATCCGGCCCCGGGTGGAACACCATCTCTGTTCATCTGATGCCCAATGCTCTAACCAAAGAGGCGCAGGTTCGTTTTCTTGCTGGTTTAGATAGGAAATTAAGGAAGTCAAGTTAAGCGAACGAAC